ACACACACACACACACACACACACACACACACACACACACACACACATTAAAGCCCGAGTTCAACTGATTGACAACATCAAAGAATCATTCGAGGGTATCGAATTGATTATAGCAACAGATAAATCTGCTCTATTTTATTCAGTGTATATGGTGCTGAAAATTTGCTGCGAACATAATGAATAAACATTGTTTGTTGTGCACAAAACAGTACAATGGTAACGTTTTTCAAATACAAGGCAGCTGTGTGCCAGGCGATTTTTAATGGTTTGTGAAATGCTCAACCCCAGACAATGGCACCGATGACATTTTTACTCTCTGTACCTCTCCTATCTCTCGCTCTCTTCAACCGTTTCTCTTTCTCTTGGCAGTAAAAAATGTGTTCCACCATGGAAATGTGTTCGATATCTCTCACTCTCCGTGTGACGCTCAAGCTGAACAACGCGTAGGTATTAAAGGTAATCCATTATTTTTCACTATAATTCCGTTTTCCTGCTATATAATTGCGAAAAATGTGGCACTGGCGTATATTATTATTTATTTGGTTACATAATGGCCGTGCGGACGTGCTAATTCAGTCGTACGTGTGTGAGTGTGTGGCAGTGCCAAACAATAAGAGCATTCATACCGAACTTGATGCATTGAATGAATGTTGAATATTACCTCGTCGGTCGCACATAAATTATGCTTCAATTGAACTTTGCATGAATTATACACCAATTTTTTTTTCTCTCTCTCTTTCGCTCCTTGTTTCAATTTTTCTGCTCTCTCCTTTTGTCTCACTTTTCATAGCTTGTGGCGAGAAAAAAAAACTCAATTTGCTAATGCCGTAAATCGATGAATATTTATCTATTCTGCTGTATGCTCTTGTTTTTTTTGGCTAAGGTGTACTTATTCAACGTCACAGCAGCAGCGCACACTGTTTCATTTTCAGCACATAATTTTCATCGTTTGTTGAATGAAATGCAATATGAAACGATCATCATAAATCATCTAAACGTCTATATGGTATGCGAAGCTGCGAGATTTGTTCTTTGTGTCCAAAAGTGGGAATCAAATTGAGGTCGTAAAACGATTCGCATGAATCACAAACCGTGCACTCGTTGAAATGGAAGGGTTCATTTATTGTTTTCCATAAGCAAAACTTGCAAAGATTTTTGTTTTGTTTTCATGCCGTTTGGTTACATAGTTGATTTGATTTGCATTTGATTGGCCCTCATTTTATGACTTCAATTAAAATTAATGAATTATTTATAGTTGTACTGAGTGCAAAATTTAATAATTTTTTTTTTTATGAAATAATTGTGTTGATCATACGCTTTCCCTTTTTTTCGACTAATCAGTCACTTTCATCTAACTCAGTCAATAACGCTGAGCGTATGCCATTGTTTACGTTAAACACAATTTGAAAAACCCGCAGTTCTTTTTTGATGGCATAATCAAACGGATCCGTTTCTTTTCCTCTTTTTACCAAAACCATTCCGTTTCCATTAGATTCGATGTACAGAACCGACACTTTGAAGATTAATGGCATTGAATTCCCGACGAAATAAAAACAAAACAACAACAAAACTATGGAAATATGTGAGATATTAATACGAAAGAAAAAGTGTCATGCATTTCAAACGATTGTTTACTTATTCATTATCTATGAGAAATATGTTTAATCCACCCGGGGCATTTTGATAAATATTAGAATAATAATTGGAAAAATGCTGCCAAACAAACGATTCTCATTCATTTTCGTTTGGATTTCGGTTGACAGGAAAGAAGGAAATGTCCATTACATCGCTTGAATTTTCAAAATTGCTTTGGATTGCGTGTGTCTCTCTTCAGTGTGAGAAATGAAAAGTTTTTCGGCTAACCGAGTGGGAAAAAAAACACATTATTTCGGTTGCCTTCTAAGAATGGAAACTACCGAATTATCAACTCGTTCATATGCTTTTTCCTTCGCTTGTTTGCTGTGATTAATTCACTTTTTTTTTATACACACCACATCACTTTCCATAGCTCTGTGTCTGAGCTATCAAAAACCATGTTTTACATATCGTTTTGTCAGTGAACTGTTTGTGTATGCCGACTTGCACAGAATTATTATGAGGCTTTGTTCTTCTTTCGTTTCTATCATTTTTCTTTTCATACTTCTCTGCCTCTCTCTCTCTCTCTCTCTCTCTTCAGAGATTCTTCTGCGTTTCTCTCCTCCTTATGCTTGAAGATGAGTGACTCTTTCGTCTCTCTCATTTCGGTTCATCTCTGAGCATTTTTCGGTCGTGTTTGTGTCCGCACTGTGCGTCGTCGTTCACACCAACGGCTTACATACAGCTCGGGATTTGTTACAAAGTTAGTCGTAGCTGCTGTTAATTTTGTTGTTTTGAATGCCTCGAGCATGATTCACATGACAGATTTTTAAGGCGAAACAACAAAAGCACCATGTTATTCTGTTTTTTTTCTCTCTCTCTCTCTCTCTCTCTCTCTCTCTCTTGTCTGTGTGTATCAATTCACTGTAAAAACAACACCATTTTCGACTTCTGATCACACTACGCATCAGAAAAATATCGTATTCATTCGTTTAAATGAGCCTTCAAGTCGTTTCTGAGATGTTTTTTTTTGGTGTTTGAGTAATATTATGGGCGAAGAGGGTTTCTCTTGCAAATTAGTCTACTGAAAAAAAAAACATGAAAATCGTCCGAAATTCTTTGTTGACACATACAGTCAAGGCCAAATGGCTGATACGTCAAACAGAGACCAAATGCAGCAGCAAACCGAATTAGAATAGACGGAGAGAAAAAGAAATCGTACCGAACTACATGCAAACATCTTTACATTCGACTGTATGCGTTGTGATTTCATTGGAAGAAGAGAGCGCACGTTCGTTCGATGAAATTTGTTGGTGTAGGTTAAAGGTGCTGTGCACACACTTAATATTCGCATGCCATTGCAAAACTCATCACAAACAAACGAACGAAATTTACATTTTTCTCGTTTCGTCGGTTGCTTATTGAGCACGATTCGGTTTTTTTTGCTTCACTACCACAATCATCTGCATGAATCAATTAAAATGCGATGGGAAATGTAACGATAAATCAATTCACATTGAAATTGATGGGTTTTGTACAGTTCCGCACACGAATTGTATGCATTTTTCGGTTTGTTTGTGGCGTAATTATCGTGAATGCCATCCGAAATTGCTTTGATTGCATCTCGACTTGATTTTTATCTCTCAGTGGCAATTAATCAATGCAAAAAATGAGCTCATCACATTTGATGGTCATAGGAAGAGATAGAAATGAAAATGTCACGTTGTATGCGACCGCATCGTTAGCTCATTCACTCAACAGTCGGACTGTTAAGCACGCGACGATGCATTGTTATTTGGTATTCGAACCATATTTAATAGGCCACAAAGAGACCGATACAAATCATCAGTCGCTTACCGTACATGATTTCCATCGCAAACTGTGAGTTTGTGTTTGTGTTGAGCGCCGGCCAAATGATTGTGCAAAACAAACGACCGACATGAAGACGATGACAGCACAACTCAAACGGAACGACGAATCAATTTACGAACATGCAACAACAACAATAACAAACATACACGGAAATTGTCTTCGGAGAGTGTCAACTGAGTGTGTGACAATCGGCAGAATTTGCATTTTGATCATAAACGGAGTTGTGTCAGTTCGATAGATTCGACGCATTCATTAAAAAAAGGTCAATTTATAACATTGGTTAGAAATTCAAAGAGCATCGAACAATTTCGTTTGATTTCATGACTCTGCCAGTGCTTTTGCTTACATAAGTTCACTTTTTGGGCAATTGATTTGAATATTTTCCATTGAACGATTTTATCTCGACACACTCTTTCGCTATCTTCATCAAAATGTCTCTTTATCTCACTTGTCTTGCTGTGTTTTTCGGTTTGTTTTTGCTTTGAGTCTTTCTCTGTCTCTCTCTCTCTCTGTGTGTTTTTCCCTCTCGCATGCCCAATCGCAATAAAAGGAAATGTCAGAACATACGAAGGCCATGGAAGAAAGTGCGAAAGAAAAAACAAAACAAGAAGCAAACGACTGAATTCAATTTGGGTTTTGTTTCACGAAACATATGTTATGCATATCATGTCTCATCGCGTTGCGCATAAAACTCCGAAATTCGTATTCCGATTGGCTACAAGAACGTGCATGCTCAATCCGAATTAGTTCTGTAATATAAACATTGGCATTCGGATGCATTTAATTTTAGACTGTTTCCGTCTAAAAATATACATTTTCTGTATGGTGTATGCACACAAAATGTGCGTTGCTGCTTGAATTGATATGTGTTTGCTTGGAGATTTCAGAGAATGCGAAAGAGAGAGAGAGAGAGAGAGAGAGAGAGAGAGAGAGAGAAAGAGAGAGAGCACAATCACAGCTTAAAGGCACAACCAATGTGGAATAGCTAGAATTTTACACATTTTCCAATGTCATTGTTGAATCATTTCAGCATTTTACGAAACTGTAAACTAAACACAAGCATCTATTTATTGTCTTAGTCGATTCGGCGGCAATGGCAATGCCAGGATTTGATTTGAATTTATTTCGATTGGAATTTATTTGTGTGTGCTCTGTGCTGTCTCAATTTCTCTCGGTGTCGTTCTCAACGCACAACGACCGGCATTTCCATGCGATTTTTGGCAGAGCAATGCGAGAACTCAAGTATGCAAAAAGAATTAAATAAAATATCCACACTTGCGACACACAACAGAAAAAAAAAACAAACAAACACTGAAAATGCACTGAGTCTTCTTCTGAGTGCAGAATTGAACAAGCGACGATGATACCATTTAAATTTCGAGCACTTGCATCGAATATGTTCGCCAAAAACTCAGCACAAAACAATGGCACTGCAACAAAAACCGTAAACTTGAATTTATTTTATTCACGTGCAACGAATGAATGATAACAAATGCCGAGACACCGCCCGAGAATGAGAAGCACACAGCAAAACATACACACATACCATTAGTTGCATTTGAAAGTGCCAAAACCGACAAAGACACAAACACAATAGAGCAAAAATGTCGCACATCGTTACGATATCTTTGTTTGTGGTGGTGCCACTTCTGGTATTATTCTTTTTGTTGGCGTCGATGTTTTCCGAATACGGAAGACTATTTTATCGACGGTGATAATTTAATCAAACGAAACATTATCACAAATTCGGCTATTATGCACTTTTTGACAATGAAACCGTGTTTCAATTTAATCAGATTAACATTTCAATTTAGATACGACTCAAAAATCACTTTCGAAAGAATAACATTACACTTTGAACACGAACTTCGTCGAAAATGGAATGTCATTTTTTTTTCGTTGAGTTGATATGCAGAATTTGAACCCTCACGCATTTGTCAGATTGGTTTGAATTTCCGTTTTTAAATGATTGAATGACGTTTGATTTTGACGCAAACATTTTGTTTTGACACGCATATTTTTTCGAAATAATATAAACATCAACCAAAAAATGGCTAGTGAAGAGAATCGTGGTTTTGCTTTGAATCGATCGAAAAAGGTAAACATTTTTCCAAGATGTAATCAGTGATCGGCTTTTGAAAAGAGGAAACAAATGCATTTACAATCGGATCAATGATGAAATCTACGGATTTGCTTCTGTTTTACAGGCGAAGCTGGACAGCTTTGAAACGCTCATGCAATCGATTGAACGTGGCGATATTGATGCGGTAAAGGTGATACTAGTCGATGTTTGTTTGGCCGACAAAGTGAATGAGGTACGTTTTAATTTTTCGAAGATTTTTTTACCTCCAGATTTTTATACTCTTCCAAACGGATTGGATTTACGGATTCTTTTGTGTGTTTTTGTTCTATATTTCAGCTAGGCGAGTCTCCTTTGCACATTGCCGTCAAGAAAAACGATTTGGAGATGGTCAAGTGCTTGCTTACTGTTTGCCCAATGATTATCAACAACAGAACAAAAGCACATCGGTAATTTCGTTCTTTTTTCACTTTATTTTGGTTTTTTTGTGGAGTATAGCGTCGCTTGAAGAGCTACATTCTGCGTGACATTGTTCTGTTTTATTGACTTTTTTTTCAATTTGTGTATTGAACGCAGGTCAGCGTTGCACATGGCAGTGGTGAACAATTCCGAGGAAATTGTTAAATTTCTGATTGATCGTGGCGCATCGCTGGAAAACCTGGATATCGTAATTGAATGTTATTCGTCGATTCTTTCGCTTGATACATAAATGATAACGGACTTTATCTAAACAAATAAGTGATGTTTTTCGTTTTAGATGAAAAGAACGCCACTTTTCAACGCGGTCGCTGAGGGTCATGCGAATCTTGTCAAGCTGTTGCTGGATAAGGGCGCTGATTCAAGTGTCGTTGATAAGAATGGATACGGCATGATGTTATGCACCGATTCCGATGTCATTTCTGACATGCTGTGCGAGTATAGAGACAAAGCCATCGAACGGACTTTTAATGAAAATTTGACCGCTTTCATACAGTCAAACCGTGAGCAATTTGACAGATAAAATTCGATTTACATGACATTGACTTCAATAACACTCTGATTGGCTCATATTGATTTGACGAATTTTTCTTTTGACTTCATTGCAGTGGTATCGAATGAACCGAAACCTTCGACTTCGTCTGCCAACCGACCAGAAGTTGAGAGACGCAACGGCGTGCCTAAACGGTGTGCGATGAGCAACGACAATACATCTGACGTACTCGAATCGTTTGCTTTGGAGCCGACAACGATCATCGTTCGAGGTGTTGACTCGCATCCTTCAACGAATCGACTTCCGTTCCGTCAAAAAATGCCAAAGTAACGAACAATTTGCAATCTGAAAACAATATCAAATCCATAATCACATTGCATTTTTTTTTAGACTTGTCGCGGCACCAGTGTCATTGTTGCGCGTAAATAAAGTATACAGAATGATTTGCAATTAATCAAAGATTTGTTCAATATTTTTATGTGCACACCTTTCAGGCTGACACCGTTTCAACTGAACGGGCGAACAGCTCAAGTGGGAATGGTGCTGATGCTTTGTTCACGAAACTCCTGGGCCTACAGGCAGAGAAGCATCGGCTCGAAGCGGAAAAGCTTCGGATTCAGAAGGAAAGTATCAGGAATCAGGCGCAAATTGATCTCCTGATGGACATTTTACAACAACAACAACCAGCGAACGATTCTTAAAAACTCAAATGCCAATGTTTTTGACATGAATTGATTTTTAGCACTACATGAAATGTAGAGCTACTAATCTGCTTTTTTTCTAGATACTTTTTGAGTGTTGAAACGAATTATGGTGAATTTAAATTTTATGCTCATATTATTTATTTAATTTAAACCAAAGGCAGTATATTTCAAAAAAGAAATAAAACCAAGAGCTTGTAATTCATTTTGCAAATAAATATATTATTTCAAAGTTACTTTGATGAAATACTTTTCATGTAGTGCGCCAAAAAATAGTTTGTTGTGAAACAACAAAATAGATTAAATAACTAAAAGAGCGAAGCTCTGCGGTCTTGTTTTTTTGTGCTTCTTCTGAGTTAAATTGAATTAGGTGTTATCTTTTTTTAAGAATTGCCACATGAACCAAAAGTTTTTCTTCTATATATTTTCTTAAGATTTTTTCACTGATTGAACTAAAGAAAAAAAACATGAATTTTCTTATTGAAATCGAGCGGTTTTTTTGGTTACTTTCTTATCTAATATAAATAAATCATCGGCTTGACATCGTATCAATGAAGAATGGTCATTCATGCAATGCCAGTTCATATGTTCATATTGAAACACTTACACATTGTTGGTGTTTTTTTTTCTTTGGTTCAACTGTTGACTCGTACTTATCATACTCTCATTTCCTTCGCTAAGCATAAGTCAATTTGTAAGTGTATGATTTTCTTCGAAAATCCCATTGAGAGTGAATGAAAAATGTGGAAGGGCATGGGCAATAAACGGTAGAACGTGACATTTGTTGCAAAGATTTATGGGCATTAAAAAGAGGCATTTTGAGATGGTTTGGTCTGGCGTCACATTGCAAAAAAGCAACCGAAGAAAAGTCAAAGCAAAAATTTCGGTGATTGTCATGTTTGTCCCCTTTTCTTCGTACATATTCGTATGAATGGGACAAAAACATGAATATCGATTATTCAACATTTTCTTGCCTTGGCATTGATGCACACTCACTCACACACAAACATGTTGTTTGTTCGGTTCTGCATACAATGTAATCAGAAGCATATGGTTGGTTCATTTTTTTTTCTTCATATTTTTCAGTTTCTTTGGAAAGAGCATAATTCACGAAAAAAGCAATATCGCTCGCATTTTGTGATTTATGTAGAACATGCACAGAAAACACCACACACACACACACACACACTTTCGGTTGCGAGGAAACGAATGGAGGAGAGAAAGTAGGAAAAGAAGGGAAGAATAATCAGATATGAGTTTTGAGTACATTAGAATCCGAGATAGACGACGACTCGCATTCGAATTGGATTGCATTTTAGAGAGTTTTGGGTCGTGATAAACTATAATTTTCACTTTATCATACATTTATTTTTATGACATGGGCGTTTTTTTTCGGTGCCATATGCACTATCGTGTGCCAAAGAGCATTTCAACGCTTGTGCTTCCTTACCTTTTCATGCATCAGAAAACCTATATTGTTCATATTTTATTTATGAATTTTCATAAGTGCATCACGCATCGCAGAGTGAGTGAGTGTGTGTGTTTGTCGATATTGCGTTCGAGTCGATTTAAACCAACTGCTGTTGGGATGATGACGATGCCCATTTCTATTCATAGTTCAATTGAATTTTCCCAAAACGGAAATACTTTTTAACTCAAATTAAACGAGCCAAACACACTCGCTTTTCATCCTAAGTAAACTCATGCATAACGAATTGGATTTTTAAATTTAGAATCGGGGTTCGTTTACCCTGAAACAGAGAATGAAACAACAACACCTTTGCTTTACTTACTAACGAAACCGTTTTGTATAACACGCGAGAGAAACGAATACAAAATTCATACAAAAAAAAAAAATATTTGCAATTTTGAGAATATCATTCAAAAATCGCTTCGAGTCGACAGTTGACACTGCATCGCTACACAGACAATGGCAGTAAATGATGACGAACAGAAGAAAAAAATCGCTATTGAAATGCAAACAACAGCATTTTTGGTGCGCGCATCGAGCGTGCAACACAAAAAAACCAGTCGAATTATTTAAAATTGTAATAATATTATTAACTTAAGCTGAAATTTTTTTTAAACTACACGAACATTCGTCCCGTTGATGTCAATCATTCCGATTTGCCATTCATCTCTCACTCGGATGATTGTTGAAAAAAAAAAATTATTTCGTTGTCGTATATCATTTTTCTAGCCGTGTTTTTTTCTCTGTTCCATACGTTGTACGAATATGAGTGAGTTTGTTGAATAACAAAAGGAATAATTAAATCGTTGCATTGTGCAAACATATTGATTACGGCTTTGTTAGCATTTGCAAAATTGAAATGTGATACTGTTTTTGCCAGTTTGGAGTGCAATCAATTGCAAAGCACGTCATTTTGTATAATCAGCGAAACCAAACATACTGTCAAATCGGTGTAATTCAAACGTAAACGAGTTTACATTGAATAATCACATTTAATGAATGAATTCTCCAGAGAGTGGTACGCAGGCGGGAATTCAATGGATTTGTTGTGTGTTGTGTTGTGCTCTGCACATTACAATACAATGGAACTAAACGAGGGTAGTTTCTGTTGATACTTTGATCTCTTGTGCCAAACAAAACGGTCTTCTTAAGACTCTTAAATCTCAACATGTGTGATTCACACGGCTGTTCATCGAAACCCCAAATATATATATATATATGTGGACCAAGCTCATTAATTATTACTTCTGCACAAACAATCACAATCATAACACCGGTAGTGGAAATTTATTGAGATTTCCTTTTCGATTGCATGCTCAGTGAGTTGAAACCTAAGCGGATTTCAACCAAGAAGAGTCTTTAGACATTTCGATCATGTAATCTAATCCGTACGCTGATTATTTATTATCGCAAACAGTTTTCGTACTGTTTTCCATGATATTCACGCTCAAACTCACTCACTCATTCACTCACCTCAACTCGCAGCCCGGCAATTCAAGTGAGAGTTCAAAAAACCAATTAACGCCGTACAACTAATAAAACGCAGTACGCAAAATGCGAAAAAACCTTGAACAACCGAAAAATCTAGCTTGAAACATGATAGATAAAATCAGACACATACCACTTGGGCTTGTGTAATAATCGTCAGAAATCAAGAGCGTTCAAGTGGTTTCGGTTCTGTGATTCTCTCAACGAAACTCACTCATGCTGCACAAAGCTCCTCTGTCTAAATCACAACTATAGCGACCGCTAACATTTCCAAGCCACGAATGATGTGCAAATTTCATAACGTCTTTTTTTGGCACTTTATTCGCAATTTCATAGCGTAAAATGCGAGACAAAAGAGATGGCAGTTATGATGAAGACCAAACAAAATACGGAGAGTGAGAGATAGAAAAAAGTTTTCTGTTTTTTGATGAAAATTGTTCTTTTTTCGTTTGATCGTACAATGTACGACGTACATTAGTTTTGCTTCTGAGTCTGTACGAGTTTGAATTCTGGTTGTGACCTTATTTACTGCAACTTGAATCACACAGACCGTTTTCATGGGGATTTTGATGTGCCCGCATTACGTTATAGGAAAAAAATTGCTGGTTAGCAAAATGAACGAATGAACAGAAAAAAAAAACAATATCGTAGAATTGTTATGTATTTACGTGTGTACGAAAAACATGCTGTGCAAAAGAACAATATTCTATTGCTTTTGTTTGCCATGCCATTCGCCGATAACAATTAAGCAAACACTGGAATATGAACAAACATGAAAAAAACGAGTTCACAGACACCCAACTGGCATAACAAAGTTTTTTGAATCTGTTTGTGAGCCATAGATTGTTGTTTTTTTTTCTCTCCACACAAAATCCACACGAAAGCATATTTTTTGTGTCGTTATTCGGTGTGATGATTTATGTGCGAAGTAAAATGGCTCTATTTTTAGGCAGAAAAAACAAAATTACCAAATTTTTTTTCTCAGATGATCCACTTTGAGTGTGTGTTTACTTCTATGGGCGAATTCTAATTTGTGTGTTCTTCTGCCGCGCGCGTGTTACGCGCATTAAAAGTTTCGTTTTAGATACGTATAAATTTGCACAAGAATGCCGATGGGAAATGAACAATGAATGTGTGAAATCGTGAATTTTTCGGCATAAACTCATTGATTATTTTCCATGTTAGATACAGCGTCTACGAGGTGATTTCCCATGTGCACACTAAATCGTTGCTACCCCGGAAAACACACAATACACTGTGATAACAAGGTGACTATGCTGCCTTTTTCTATACACACACTGATTATATCCGAAATGAAAATCATCACGCGACAACTGGCAAAATGCTTTGCCAGCTTCGCTTTGCTTTGCATAACACATAATTGATTAGAGGCGGAAACAGGAGCCAAATAGCATTTTGTCATCGCTATCGCGTGTCATATACGTTTTTAATATGTTCAAGCATTTGTTCACTGCTTAATTTCAAGATGATTCAATCAGCTTTTTTGCCTTGCATTGTATTCAGATTCACTCAGCGAAAAAAAAAACAAACGCAAAAAAATGGGTACGATTTGATTTTTCGAAATGAGGAGTTATCAACATAATTTTGCACCATTTATGAGATGATTCTCATCATTCAGAGTCTAAGAATTGATCTAATCACAAACACACACGAATTGAATGAACGATAACTAATGCTGGGACACCAACTGAGAAACACACACCATTAATTGCAATTTAAACACATTGAACATTTTGCGTATCGACAAGTATGGAAGTGGTACGCGTGGTATACCTCCGTGTTTGAACAAAGTCATCTTGACATTGTCAGTTTCGGCCATATTTAGTACTGCTTTCAAATCATAACTATAACACACTCACACCGTCAATCAACTTTGACATTTTGCCTAGGGGGAAAGAACTGAGTAAATGAAAATAGAAATATTGTAAATAATCGCATATTCTACCGAGTTTGGATCAATACGCGTCAATGCGTGTCAATGCGCTGAATAACTAGCTGCGGATGCATGCAAATATGGTCAATAAAATGTGCGTATTTGCAACTGTCATTCGTGCTCGCCATGAACGAGACGAAGCAACAGAAGAAAACAACAA